AATCGACATGTTTATTAACATTAAAAATATACGTTATGATCACAACAATCTTATTATCAATCAGATCGCCATGTCGTAAACCATCTCTGGATATTATCACCAAATATATTTCTCATCAGGCCACAATTACAATAACTATGTTGCCACCTCCCATGACAACCATAATCATCCCTTACAATGATAAAATCACATCATTGATTCTATTTTATAATTTAAGATTTTCTTGATACAATATTCGATTCCCCATTAGATTATACATATTAGATTATACATATGTAAACCTGATTTCCTTAGTCTATTTAAGAAAATATCATATCCCTTTTTCTAAAAGTCGAAATTATGTGATTTAAATTTTTTTTGCTTTATTCCTAATAATTTATTTTTTTAAAAATAATTTTATAGATGTTAATAACATATTTAATATCACACGTCTCTACATATGTAAAAAGGATGGCCTCTATCTAAAACTTTTAAATGACTTTTCATTTTATTTTTAGTGAAGAGTTTTATATCTTTATAAATTTAATGGCATGTTTATAATCATAAATTTTAAGAAAATTATAATTATATAAATATTATGACATAAATTTAAAGTTTGTGAACTCATCTCTTCGATAAAAAAATGTCATTGTCAGCCATCATAGCATCTTTCCTTTACCGTTATAGGTCTCGTCACAATAAAATTACATCATTGATTCTACTTTATAATTTAACAATTTGTTTATATAATATTTTCATTAGTTTTAATGTATTGGTTTAAAATATGTGCATTGTACGTGTATGTCACGATAATATTATTAATTGAATATTTCTTTTTTTTTCTTATGATAACTTGAATAGAGATTTGAAAATTCTAATATTATCGTGAGTGTACATATTATTTTTTTATTTTTCATTTGATGTTCAAAATCCAAAGTCTGATCCACATGTGATATACCTACCGCTCACTATTTTTCGTTCCTAGCCTACACGAGTCTAAGTAAATGGAACAATTATAATTCAAATAGTATATTTTATGAAAAATTAGTATAGTTTCATTGATTTATTCTCAATCAAAATGATCATATTTTGTTTAAATATATAATATGAAAAATTATATTTCAGAAAATATTTGAATCACGAACTAAACAAAATACAAAGGATGATAACGAAGAAAAGATACTAACAAAATAAAAGGACAATAAAATATTAAGAAAAGAAAAACATATATTATTAATAAACCTAATATTGAGTGCTTTTGTAAATGCATTTTTCTAACCTAAATAGATTACTTAATAACATAAGTAATATTAATCAATTGATTAAAGGAATTCTAATTCTAAAGTGATTCTTAAAGCTTCATTACCAATTTCCGCATTAAAAAAAGGAAGAAGTTAAATGAATTTTATTTTAGATTTAAATTTTTCTCTTTCACTATAAAGATAATACATACTACTATTTTTTTTATAGGAATAAGTTTTATCCCTATTTTTTGGTCCTTTTTTGCCTTTTCCTTTTTTGGACATATTAATTTTGTTTTCCTTATTAATTCTGAAAGTTTTTGACTATTTTCTTATGATCGTTTCAAGCGAAATCAATGTTTAAATAACATTATTGAGAACTTTTGTGCTTTTAATACATACATAAATGCAAATCTAGTTTTCTTAGTCCGTTTAAAATACATCATAACCCTTTTCCAATCATTGAAATTATGCAATTTTTTATTTTTTTTAGTCTTGATAAAAGTTTCTCCAGTTTTATAGATGTAATAATACATTTATGTCTCTACCTACGTAAAAAGAATGACCTTTGTTTAAAATTTTGAAATAATTCAATTAAACACTTTTATATTATTTTTAGTATGAAGTTTTTATATCCTTATAAATATTACGACATATTTCATATCGTAAATTTCAAGAATTACAATATAAGTATTATGTCAATGATATATTATACATATATATGTATATATATTATTTTATTATTTTTTCATAAGAGTAAGAGCGAAGAAAAAAAGAAAAGGTACAGCTGGGGAGACCTATGTGGCAGGGCATGAGCATGGGTCAAATATGGCGTGGCAAACTTATAGATCAACCGCGGCGGCTCGGGTCGTAGCTGTCAATTTCGTAGCATAAATTGTAGCCGCAAACTTCTTACCCGGCACGTGCTTTTTTCCTTTTATAGTTATGGGTCAGGTGACCCTTTTTTCCCGGCTCTTACTAAAAAAAAAATATTTTTAAATATTTAAATTGAACACAAGGACTTTAGTTATATCACGTCACCTACTAATTAAGTTGTCAAAACTTTTTAGTATTACCACTACACAATGATTAATAAGTTGATTAAGCAAAAGAATCATTATTGTGAAAAGCCGTCATTCACATTTGTCTAATCTGAAAATCAGCTGATGACGAAACCTTAGCTATAATTGAATTACTAATCAAAATGCTCTTGATTAATAAGCTTGTCGTTATGTTTTAGGCATGTAGTGAAAAAGGACTCAAATCAAGTTTTATATGATTACTTGAGAGCATTCAACGATTATTCAACATAAATAATAATAACAATAATAATAATATATTAATTATGTATTCCCACTGTTCTTTTTTTTTTTGAAAATATCAAAATTTTTGTAATCCCTATAATTTTTAGTAGGGCAACTTTCACATATAGTAAATAAAAAATTCATATTTGTAAATATACATGTGTATAATTCGCTATACATATACAATTGAAATGAATTGTATAAAATAAATTGTATAAAACGAGAAAGAGAGAAATTATATACAATTTGAATTTATATAAAACGAGAAAGAGAATTAGACAAAAGAAATTGTTTATATAAGTGTATATTGGAAATATATATATATAAATGAAAAATAGAACTCGTTGTAGTTTATATACATATACCTATCGGTGTTGTTTTAAGTTGAATAAGTATATGAAACTGTTGTCTATTTTTTCAAATTTATTTATTTATACAGTGAAGGTTCGTCCTTAGTTTGGATGAATAAGTTTGTGCGATTGTATGTGTCTAAATGATCATTATACAAAAAGTAACCTTATAAAAGAACAATGCACAAAATTGTATCAAATGTAAATATTTATATTGTATATACAGAGAAACTATTGTGAAGCTACTAGTACAATAACTATTAATGTATTAGTGGAACTGCACATTATAATTTTAAAAATTTGTGTATAATTAAAATTTATATCAGTGGAAACTATATATAATTTCTTAAGAAAAATATGATTTAGGGAGAAATTTTAGGAGAAACTGAAAGAAATTCAGAAGGTAAAAATAGCTAATGAATTTGTATAAAAATAGAGCGTGAACCCCAATCAATTGAAAAAAAAAACTGATTTTGAATCATCAGCTTTTTTTAGATTCGTGAATCCCAATTAAATTGGCAAAATATGTGCAACATTTGCTGCGCAATACAAATAAATTAAATAGTAGCTATAAAATTTATTTTGATTTAAATGCTTGCTATTATGTACAATTTTCCCTTTTTAAGGGCTATGTAACGTATAAATTCACTTCTAAACATCCGTAAATTATAAGAGATAATAAAAATCACATTAGACAATCCCAATATATGCCGTTGGCAGAGGAAGGAAACCGAATTGGAGTATTCTATTTGTAAATGATCTAATATTTGTCCAAGACGGTATGGGTTCATATCGTGAATGAATCTGAAATAGGTTGGAAGGGTACGTGTTATAATGAAAAGAAGTTGGGTTGTACACTTGTCGTTTTATTTGTCTCTTATATCAAAACGGAATACGTCTTATGTATATCATGGTGGGTGATTACATGATTGATATTTTTCTTTTGTTTTTGTATCATAACCACACTTACTATTTTACATTCCATTCATTATGAAGGAGCTAGTATGAGTTATTATATGAGAGAATCTTTCAACTTAAAAAAAAATGTTTCACTTGATATAATTAAGGAATTGTTGATACATAGGATAAGGTGAGATATTTCAGAATTATACTAAAGATAATATCTATTAAACGTAAAATAAATTTAATCTCATTATTAATCATGATTATTCATCTCCTAAGGGAATAAATTAGTCAATCAATTATAATTGTAGGAGCGTAACAACGAAATAATTTAGTTTCCATATCAAAGGACTCCTATATTTCGTATATGACTGTTGTTGGGCTTTTCCCTGACTTTTAATTTGAAGGCAATTGCCAAACGTAATCCAATTCCTGTAGTTGTGAATTGGACTTATTTGGTCCTGATTATCTATATTTCTGTTGGGAAACCCTGGCCTGCATCGCCAAGTCGTAACAAAGAGTGATATTTCTTCTGAGATATACATAAATATTTTCAGACTTCAGAGCATAATATTCCCCACAAGTTATGTGATACACGATAAATAAGAATATGCTTTGTTTATTTCTTTAAAAAGGTTGTCGATGAAATGCTATAACAAAATCGAGTAAGACCTATGAGCTTTGAACACTCCCTAGTCCGTACCTTAATTAGAAAAATGCATTTTGAGTTTTTATGGAAAAAATGTCTTTCCAAGTAAATTGAAAAAAGAAGAAATAATATCTAAAATGATACGAAAGAAGAAAATGAAAGTCCCGGGCCACGAGGAGCCAGTTGGTTGCAACCACTTGGCAAAAGAAAACAAAGCCACGTCACCAAAAATTGTAGCTAATTTTGTACACCGCTTTTTGACTCTAAAGATAATAGTGGGACCCGCCATGAACGTGATCATCTATATCCTTTCAAGTTCCAATACCATTTTCCTTGCATTTAACAGAATACCTAACTCTCTAATTTCCAGACTCCTCCTCATGACTTATATCCCTATCTATTCACAGGGGCGGCTTTACAAGATTTTCAATATTAAGAGAACATAAATTTTTCATTATGCTGGCAAAAAATATATAAAAATTTTAATTACATTAAATTTCACTTTAACTTTTTTTTAAAAAAATATTTACGTAATTTCCAAACACAAGACCACTAATATGCTTCACAGCTATCGCTATCCATTTCCATACACACACATCCCCACTATTTATCATTCAAATCATATTATATTAAAATATCTGTGAAATAAAAATAAATAAATGCAGTTAACAAGGACGTAGCGTGAAAGCTGAAACAGAGTAGGCCTAGTAGTAGCTGTCGTATTTTAAGTCGTTCTTATCAATCTACAATGCATAATTTATACAGTAGTTCTGTGGTGGATCATCGTCTTTTTTTTCTTCTTTTTTTCTCTGTTGCTGATGCGCAACTGCACCAGGATCTAGATAGTCAAAAACTGCTTTGACGTCAGCCTTGAGCATATTCAGGTTGGAATACATCTTTCCGCTATATTTCTGTTAACAAATTCCCTGAATTTTGTATCTGTTAGAACAATTTCTCAAATCCGTTTCGAGGATTCAAGTCCAGAATCCAAGATTTTGGAGATTTATGGCTTTGAATTATGCGGATTTAAAGCTATTAAGGAAGGGTTTAGACTATACTCGGAGAAATAGGAACTGGGTTGTTGCTTTAGGAGCTCTTGGTGTTACTGGTTATGGCGCTTATAGAGCTTATTACTCACCCTCTATGGTTAGAAAGAGGAATAGATTTTTCAAGCTCATAAGTGCTTTTGTTTCTTTAGCTGAGATGGTGGCTGATTCTGCTGATGTAATTGGGATTGTTTCGAAAGATCTGAAGGAATTCATTTCCTCTGACTCTGATCAAATTCCTAGAAGTTTGAAACAAATTTCGAAGATTGGTAAATCAGATGAGTTTTCACAATCTATTGTTAAGGTCACTAGTGCGTTGACAGTAGGAGTCGTGCGAGGCTACCAGCAAGTAACTGCGGAAAATGATGTTTCTGGGGCTGCAAATTCTGGGCTTTTTGACCAGGTTTTAGATAAACTGTTTACTGATGCAGGGTCTGGTTTTGCTTCTGTAATTGTTGGGAGCTTCGCGAGGAATTTGGTTCTTGCTTATTGTTCGGACAAAAAAGGCAATGCTAGTTATTCTGATATTGAACACTCTGTTCCAGGATGGGTTGATGTTCTATGCCAGGACAAGTGCAGAGAACTGATAGGAAATTGTATACAATTGTTTGTGAGCACTGCAGTTGCTGTTTATCTCGATAGAACAATGAACATCAACACCTACGATGAAATATTTTCTGGGTTGACTAATCCCAAGCATGAAATGAAAATGAGAGATATGTTAGTAGCCATATGTAGTGGTGCCATTGGAACTTTTGTTAAAACTTCTCATCAAGTTTTGACAAATAGTGATATGGATACAACTTCAGAAATGTATTCTTCTTTGCCACTTAGTTTCAAAGCGAAGCAATTTTTGGACGAAGACGAGAACATGCACAGCGGGTGGACAAATAAAGTATCTTCTACTTTGGCTTTCCCAAGAAATAGGAGGTTTATTCTTGATTTGACTGGGAGGGTCACCTTTGCGAGTGTTAAATCTTTCTTGGAGTTTCTGCTAGAAAAGTTGTACGAGTGTATGCGAAAAAGCATAGATGTTGTCCAGGAGGAAGTGGTGACACTGAGAACAAGTGTAGATGTTATACAAGAGGAGGTGGTTGATAAGAGTACGGAAGCTTGCAGGTATGTGAGTGGGAAATCATCTACTGCTGTTAGTGTATGCCTCGCGCTGTGTTTGCACATACTTAATGGCCCTTGGATCCTGGTTCCAAATTAGCAAGTTTCGAATAGAATCTGAGGCTTTTTGTTTGTTAAGCTTCCTAGAGTATTACATTCTTTTCCCAAGGGAATCTTGGATAGTACAACTGTATATGATTTGTCTCTTCTTGTTGATTGATTGTATTTCAATTCAAGTATGTCAAAGTGAATGTAATTATGCCTCTAATTTTTCTGTCTCCTGGCAGCGGTTCTTTTGCTTTTCTTCATTCAGTTGAGGTGATCATAGTTCTAGTAAGTAAAGAAAATATTAAAAGCCATGCAACCAACAATCAACCATTGAAGTTTTTGATCTCGAGTCAGGTGTTTAGTAAGGGCATTTGTTGTTTGATCCAGTGGTATGAATTTATACAGTAAAAAGGAATATCAGAATAGCTTCTGATAATGGCATGGTCCATTGTCAACAAAATAATTGACAAAATCAGTGTTGCAATAGGAACCCCTCAAAAGTTGATAACCCGCTATTTTAGGCCCACAGCTTCATGGTTACACCAAAAGCAACTAAGTAGGCTGCAATAATGTTTGAGATACGTTTGAAGCAAACCATGTATTGGTAGCCTTCCTAGAAGAAAAAAAAAGTGATTTCGACATATTTCAGCTTTAATTGTCGATTCAGGAGCTCAGCGCTAATGTTCTAAAAATTTTATTCCATCAAGCCATTGGATAACAGAACCATGAAACAGACGCATACTTGTGGCAAGTAAAGATCCTTCCAAATTAAAGAGGAACAAATTGTGTTTCATGATATTACATTCAGTAACCACCATGCTTTGTAAATGATCAATTTTTGATTCTGATCACAAATTCTTAATCCAAATACTTCAAAGAGGATGATTTTCTTGGTTCCAAGTAAGATGCAATAAGCAGTGGAAGGAAAAAAAATAAGAGACGTAAGGTAACATAGGCACAATATTATTCTAATTGACATATAATATTTCTCCTGAACCATAATGCCACAGTGGTTGCTTTTGCGTGTCTATTTTCAACAACAACAAGAAAAAAACCAGAAATAATTTTGATGCACAGTCTCATACAAGCCACTGAAGGATGAAATATCCAAATCATCATGGCGTAAACTATTTGGATGAGGATGTGTCTGCAGAAAGCATTTCTAAAGAGCAACTACCAACAGAAAAATACTAGCATTATATTAGGCTCAGATATGCGTCTGATCGTTCTATGAGGTGCTTAAATCATTTTCTTTTGCAGCTGGTTCCTCCTGAAGTTTCTTCTTCCAATATTCATCAAGTGGTTGTGCAAATATAGCTTTCCCAGATACAACGCCAATTCTACAAATTGACCAAGTAAAAGATCAAGCAAATAGAAATAAAAACATAATGCAGTATACATATTATTTATTGACTGAGGTCTAAGAGGATGGAAGTCGTAATTTCTGAACTGTAGAGTGTAAAAATCCAGATGTCAAAGACGTGTCAGGAACTGCTTTGGTCAAGAAAGGCATGAAGCAGGTATACTGGGAAAATACACTATATCTAATCACCCGTAGTTGTTACTTCTACTTTGAACTGTATACTCCAAAAATATAACTTAGGTTCCAACAAATTCAGTGCATACACATTTTGTTCATTTGCATAGTAAATATTTAATTAATTAGGTTAATCATGCCTCAGAAACACCAAGCTGAATAAAGGTGCCAAAGTTATTAAAGGTAATGATTCAACAAAGGCAGAGGCTAGCAGTATTATCGAGAGATTAGAATGATACGAAGTACCAGTACAGCAATTTACTTAACATAAGGAAGAGGCAAGAAACAAGAAAGGGTATATGCAGCAGTTATTTGTTAGTGCTACAAGAGAGTACAAATGCACTCTTAAGTCTTAAAAGAGGCAGCAATAGCCCTTAAGAAACATAAGACAGCCTTCTCTTTAACAAGGCCCCTTACAAACAAAATGTTGGCAAAGAAAAAGAGCAAAATGAAACAAGGTGTTTAACAAATTTAAGTATCTCTATTCAAGTTTAGCATACAAGCACCTTGGCTTTCTTGGAGTAATGGGCATTGATGGTTCAACAGAAAAGAGCTAAAATACTACAGGGACTATACAATTACATTGGGTGTCTATGTGAAAGCAGATTTCTTAATTTGGGTGTCTATGAAAGCAGATTTTCCTACTCTTCCCTTGAAGAGAAGAGGAATCCATCTACAATTTAATATTTCACCTGAACCTAAGCTAACTAATCACTGTTCCAAACTAAGCAACCCGACCCACCTCCTCCCTGCATGCATGAGCCACACCCCACACACTCAGAGATAACCCCATCCAAACGACCTTGAAAGTCATACCTAGTTCTTTCTAACAGTTAGATGGAACCCTTATAAAGGAAAAAAAACAGATGGAACAATGGAAAATACACTTCTACTTATCTCTGAGTATGTGATGAAGATTCACAAAGCAGTACTAAGGATGTGGCAGCTCCAACCTGTGAATTGTGAAGAGTACAGGTAGCGGCTATTAACGATTATTCTAATTCTTTCTTTGATAAACCCCTTTTCTATCTCTAGCTTATCAATATGTCAAAATATACAGAAGTAAATGTGCTAGGAATGGCGCAAAAAATGCATACTTCCCAACCATACACCAAATATAACAAAATATTGTCGTACTGTATGATAACCATAGCAGCAGAAACATGTCAAAAGGTACATATAGCAAAAGCTAGGAAGAACAAGGGGTAAATGAGAGAAGGAAAATATGTCATTCTTTTACTTTTTGTCTTTTTATCTCTCTATTTTGTTGGCGGGGAGCTTGATATTGAGGATGTTCTCCAACTCACTTTCAGCCAATGGTCAGAGGGAATTCGTTTATCCACTGGTTGCAGCCATCTGCATGTAGGGAGTTGGCGGAGCTATATCTAATGGATTGTCTCGTACTCACTCTCTAACCTAGTAACCTTACCAAGGAAAACATTGGGGGTTGGATCAATATCTATCCCCAAAAACACTTAGAAATTTCACCGAGGTTCTAGGCTCAATTTTAGTTGCTATACAGGATAGACTGTGAGCGCAGATTTCCTAAGTTGTAGTATCTTCAATTTTCAGGAAGTCCAAAATTTTGTCTAGGCAGGTGAATCGAGCTTAAACAGAGACTTTATTGTTGGAGAACAATAGGAACAACAGAAAACAAACAGCAAGCTAAATTTAGGACAAGTCAAAGATGCTCTCTACAATTTTTGATACTTGAACCTATACCATACTTAGAGCTATGAACACAACAATTAGAGAACCAACCCTAGAAATTTCTTAATCTTAATCATCATGATAAGAACATATGACAGTTCATTTATGTATTTCTTCAAACACCTTTGCTCCAATTCATGATAATTTTTCAAAAACTTAGATTACGCAGTACGATGGGTTTCTTTTCTGGTTTTCCTCTTTTCTATTTGGGTACCATGATAGGTCAGTAATGAATCCATATACAAATGTCAATCTTAAGCAAGTATGGAATAATGGTAATACGAAACTTACATAACTGCGCCAATTACCAGCGGAAACGACAAAAATCTTCTCCTGAACATCTTCCCTTTATCTTCTCCTAATCTTCTCTCTCTCTCAGTCCAGTAGTTTCCGTCTTGAGAAGCAAGAGATCGGAGCTATCGGCAATTCGGCATCGGCTGTAGCTACTGTTTTGTTCAATTACCTTCACCTCTTCTATTCCTTAAGAAAATTACACAACAACCCTTCTACTTTCAAAAATTACCATTCAGCTACTCTCCAATTTAGTTATCTTTACCCAATGTAATTTGATCTAATTCCATTAGGTTATTCACGATATTTACCTACAATTAGCTTTTACATTAACATATTTGTACAATTTATTTTAGACAATTGCAACAAAAAGTAATCTCAGCATTATAATTATTGCCATTAATATTTGTGTTTGTCATCCAATTTGCTATATGATGGTACTACAATTGAATTGTGGAAAAATGTCATGTTGGTCCATTGTTAGTTATTTCTTGTTAACTTATGAGTTATGAATTGTGGCATGCTATCTTAAAGAGTTCCTACAAGATGGAACTAATTATATAATGAATAAAAATAAATAAATTGTTATTATATGAATTTAGGATACTATAGTCAAGAATCAGCTTAACATTTGTAAAAATAAAAAATTGTAATGGCGGAGTACTAGAAATATGTATAACCACGTTGAGATACACCAATTTCAACTATCTGACAAATGTCAAAGATAGTAAGTCTTACTATCCTTATTTTTATCTTTGATGAGGCAGGAAATGTTATCTATGTACTATAATTTAACACGGCTCGTTTCAGCATTTATATAGCCGACCTTGTGCTGTTAAAGCGTCATCAGATCAGCTATAACGTTTAATATTCTGCTCATTTTTCTTCTCTTGGTTTTTGAAAGTTTACTAAATTTAACATCCGTGCACTACAAGGTTTATTTAACACTCTCTCAACTTATTGGAAATTTCAACCCTCCCACACCACCTATGTGATTTCTTTCCATGTTAAGCTACTCCAACTAGGTCCCAATATTGTTCTCCATATACCAAAACATTTTAATTTTTCTAGTAAATTTCATTTTACGGGATGTCATAGCAAAAAAAGTGATACTCTATTTTTTTGAAAAATTCCTTAATTTTGCTCTTAATAATGTCACAAACATGTTTAAAATTAGAAATCTGAAAACACACATGTAAATATACAAAGAAGGTTTTATTTCGTAATTAAACCATATGCCTAGTTGAAATACCGCCAAATACAAAGCAAAACAGAGATAGTATCATCTAGGACGGAAGAGGAAATGCTATTAATACATTTTAACGTACAGGAAAAATCAACGGGACTGATGTACAGTAAGGTAATTTTAATGTGTGATATGTAACTGTCTCATCTACTTCCAATATACCAAATAGCAAACTAGTTCACGGGTTCTGATTTTGGGTATAGATATAGTCAAGGTGAGCAGCCAAGTTCCTTCTTTCTAAACATTCTTCATCCTGCCCTCCGTTGCAGCTCTCTTCGTTTGCTACTTGTTTTGATTCCCTAACATGATCCTGAAACGTAATAATAACAAAATTTTAGATCATCGTCTAATGTTTAATCATAAAAATTCACTGACATATTGAACTTTGGTTACCTGGTGGTGATCAATGTTGAGGGATGCCTCGTGAAAAGCTGGGGCAGGACGAGAAGCATAGGACAGGGCAAAACAGAGGAGAAGTATAATGAAGAAAAAACTGGTATTGGCTTTAGACATGGTTAATTAGAATTTTAATTTAATACTAATACTTGTTTCGAGTAATATTGCTATGTAACTGCAGCTCTATGGCGTTATGTGGTGACATGTATTTATACTGCGAAGTGGAGGGCCTATCTCAACGATTGAGTGTGAACAAGGATGAGCTAAAATGGGCGACTTTAAAGATATTTGGGTAATGGAGAATCAGGAAATTAGTTGTTTTCTCAATTTGGACTAAGATATAAGTATTTATTTTTTTTAACAATAAAGAGGGCAGAAGAAGAAGAAGGAATCTTCGAAGGAGTATTAATTAACGATAATTTATTGATAAAAGATAAAATTCATAGCTACGTACATGACGCCATTTATAACACCATTGATAAATGGTTGTTACGTTTCCCAACTAGTATTCACCTTTTTTTCAATTAGAAAGGCATTTATGCTTTGCTGACCCAATATATATTTAGCAAAAGTTGGGTTGCGACTTCTTTTGTGATGAGCGTAATTAATGGGAAAATTAATAAAGCGGTGTCTCAAAGCCAAGACACCAAAGTTTGATTATTGTTACTATTAGTGGTTGAATTAAAATTTTCATCCAGTATAATAATTTCTCAAACTTATGAATGACAATTGAATATGGAGAATCAAATTTATAAATCATTTAACATCTTTATATTTATAGATAAGAGATCTGAAAATGGTAATTTTCTTCTATTATTTTATTCATACGTGATCAAAATGTTTTATTTCCTTCAATTGACTCCCTTTAAATAAAAATAGTTATTGGGTAAAAGGCCTTTCCCCGAGTAAGGAATTAGAAAGAACAATAGAACAACAGTAGTTCATGAGGAGTATTATTCTCAAACTGATAATGAATAATCAAAATTCTGAGAATGAGATGCAAGTTTTAGCATTCGATTTACACATTGGTCTAAAAGATTTTCATGATACCAGGGGCGTTTTATTTTTCTACCTTGCCCAATCTAAGCATTTTCCACATGAGTAAAAACACGTGTACAATGGTCCACATATTCTAGAACAAAATAGAAATAAAAATTTAATCACAGCTAGTCTTCTCGTTATATAATAGTATTATTATTATTTTGGTTTTATACTTGTATAGTCTTGTGGATATTCTGGAGGAAAGCGAAATATAGGAGCAATATGCATGCATCTCAATTTGCTATTGACTCTTTGGAAAACTCTAAATATATAGTTGACAGAAATAGAATAATCGTCTTGGTCGAACAGGGGTGGCTCTGCCGTATTAAAAAAAAGACAAGTGTCTTAAGCTCTCAAATTTAAGGGCCTCATTTTTAATAATAATAGGTTATAAGTTAGTATTTTTTAACAAATATTGAATATTATTTGTAGAAAAAAATAAAGTTTCAAGAAAAATGAAGGAACAATAGAAGAAATTTGACATATTTGAAGACCAGTTTTAAAAAAAATTGACATATTTGAACTACTATATCTCATTAAAAATAATTTAAAATAAAAATAGTTATATTATCAATCAAAAACTAGAAGAAATCAAATATGTAAAGTTATTAACAGTTAAAATTTAAGATTCAATTTAATTTTTACTTTAGACCACTAATATATTTGAGTCCCTTTTATGGTCGAAGCACATTTCGTATAGCAGGTTGACATTTTTTTATTCTTCTTCATAATGGACAAAAATCATACATGTTTGTTTCGATATAAAATGCCACTTCGTAATCACGACATGATATGAGGAGGAACTTGGAAATATGAGTCCAACGTAGGGAAGCCAGGTTCATCCGAACTTCCTTCAACAAAAATTATATATTTTATATGTGATTAAAATTATCTTTTAAATATTTAATTAGTAAATATTAAATCCCTTCATCTTCTTTGTATTTTAAATTCAGTAAAAATTTTGGTTTCCCAACTTAATATAATTGTGGAATTGTGGTGCACTCATAAATTTGATATCTTGTATATCACTCCCTTCATCCATTATTAATTGTCATATTTTTCATTTTTTTGAGTCAAATTATAAAACTTTGACTAATATTTTAAGATATATTTTTTCATCATATTGATTTGTAAAATATTGCAATGTATAGTACTTTTCGTATAATTTTTAAAAATCTAGTTTTTTTATTTAAAAAATTGAATTAATTTTGAAAACAAGTCAAAATAAAAACCATCTCTAGATAAAACCAAATATATGTCAAACTTTTAAGTCGTCATTCTTATTGGTACCAACTTGAATTTATGATAATATACAAATCACTATATTAGGATTTTGCAAAAAGAAAAAAAAAACTTAGTACAGGTCCAATGCTCACGTTTTATTAATTCAACAACTAACAACCGGTCTTCTCTCGTCTCCGTAGCCGAAATGCTGCGCTAACTTTGACGTGGCGTATTGCAATAAGTTTAATACAGAAATCCTAATCATGATAAAATTAAAACAGAAACATTATATATCTTAAGTACATACTTCTTGCATCAAAAAATAGATTTTCTCACTGTGATTTTTTTTCTCTCAATTAGTAGTAAGAAATTATTGAACTTGCTCTACTAATCGATCAACTTGCATTCAAGTAGACAAATTAAGTAATCGATCAACTTGCATACACCAGAAACTTCATATGGGATTTATTAACGTACAGGGGAAAATTAACAAGCAACACACGAAAAGCAATACTATAAATATATGTGATAACTCACTCGTTCTATCACTACTTTAGTGAAACATGAATTAACGTTAAACTTAGGTCAATTAATCATTGTAAAACAAATTAACTGATCATTTTGGTCCTTGGGAATCGTAAACTTTCTTCAAGGGTTCTGATTTTGGGTATAGATATAGTCAAGATGAGCAGCCAAAGTCCTCCTTTCTAAACATTCTTCTTCCTTGACTCCTTTGCAACTCTCTTCCTTACCAACTTCCTTTGGTTCAACAACATCCTGAAATTATTCAAATTATTTAATACTAATACCAGACTAAATTATTCGTAATAATAATAATAATAACGTTCTATATTTAACAACGTAATTTTAAATAAGATAATCATATAATTCAATAATCAGACTACATACCTGGTGTTGAATATTGTTGAGAGTAGCCTCGTGAAAAAGTGGGTTAGGGCGAGCAGCATAGGACAGGGCAAAACAGAGGAGAAGGATGATGAAAAAAAAGCTGGCAGATGCTTTAGACATGATGGCTTATTATTTAGCTCTAGCTAGATGCTTAGTTTTTGAATATGTATATGCTGTCTATAGCTTAATGGTCTCTGTGTTATGTGGTGGCTTCAATTTATAATGAAATGGAGAGAATGACAGTCACAAATTTCTAGGTGTGAACTTGAATGAGTGAAAGGGAGACTTTAAACATATATCCATGTCAGGGGAATGACGATATTTTATCTTTTAAGTGGACTACAATCTATGTAAAATAACAAAGTTTTTTTACCAG